GCTTCCATCTCTTTGCTATTGTGAACAACACAGCAATAAACATGGGTGTACATATAGCTGTTTGGGTGGTGGTTATGGTTTCTTTAGGGTAAATTCTCAGTAGTGCAATTGCTGGGTCAAATGGTATTTTTATTTCCAACTGTTTGACAAAGGCCATACTGCCTTCCAGAGTGGTTGCACCATTTTACACTCCCACCAACAGTGAATAAGGGTTTCAGTTTCTCCACAACCTCACCAGCATTTGTTGTTTGCTGCTCTGTTGAACTCTGCTATTCTTACTGGGGTGAGATGATATAGTTGTTTTGATTTGCATCACTCTTAGAGCTAGGTATTTTGAACATTTATTCATGTGTCTGTTCGCCATCTGAATGTCTTCTTTGGTGAAGTGTCTGTTCATATCCTATGCCTATTTTGCAGCTGGGTTGTTTACTTTTTATCTTGTTGAGGTGCTGGAGTATTCTACAAATTCTATATATAAGTCCCTTATCAGACATGTCTTTACCATCTTTTTCTTCCCAGTCTGTGGCTTTCCTATTTACCTTGTTGGAGAAGTTTTTTGATGTGCGTAGGGATTTGATTCTTAGAAGGCCGCATTCATCTATTTTATTCTCTCCTGTTTGTAGGATTTTCAGGATGCTTGGGAGACTCTTCATGTTGTAGACTAGAGCTCCTGAAGTTCTTCCACACTTTTCGTTGATGAAGTTTATAGTCCTTGGTTTTACTCCCAGGTCCTGGATCCACATTTGGGTTGATTTTTGTGTGTGGTGTAAGGTTTGGGTCTTGCTTGAGTTTTCTGGTTTCCCCTTCTAGAAACTCTCTCCATGTGTCAAACTGCTACACAACCTTTTAGGTCCTATCCAAACGCCTCCTGCTCTATGAAACCCTCTTGACAATCCTTTCTCACCTTAACCATCACACACAGACACACATACAGGCGGACTACACCCACCTTCTCCAGGGAGCCCAAGGCCAGCTGTCCTTTCCTAATAAAGGACTTCTTTCTGCAGCACTTAATGACACCTATATCATTCCCATTAGTCTCAGATAGTTTTTTAGAAATGTTTCCCTTGTGTCACCTCCTCCGCCAGATGTCTAGGTTAGCAGCTAGCCAATGCCTCAATCTGCTTCTCTCCATTGAAATAGGAACCCTGGTGGTGCGGCAGGTTAAGTACTGAATTGCTAACAAGAGGTCAACAGTACAAACTGACCACTTGCTCCAAAGGAGGAAAACGAGGCAGACTTGGAAATCCCATGAGGCCGTTTGCTCTGTCCTACAAGGCCTTTAGGACACTTGATTGCAAATGTCCTAAAAGGAACTTTGCTCACCTCCTGGCCTCCTATTCTCTCGTGGACTGTGTCCCCGTCACTCCAGGGAGTCCCTAGGTAGCACAAACAGTTAAATTCATTAAATACGCCTTGGAAGTGAGGCCTGACAATGTGTTTTGGAAAGGTCACGTCCCTGAAAACCCTAGCACTCCTTCTCAGCACACACAGGGTCCCCCTGGATCACAAATGACTGAGTGGCAACGTTCCACTCCTAGACATCGTTTTTCATCTTCTCACCCCCGGTCACCCATCACACCATCCCTCTGGGTATTCCTGGCTCTCCTTCCATCTGAAAGCTGTTGTTTTATCATGTGTTCTGCTGTTGTCCTCATGTCCATCTGTCCATACAGAGCCTCCCCAGCCGGAGAGGGAACCTAGACTGACCCCTTGGTCCTCCCTTCCTCACATTCCCAGCACTTACCCTCTCTTAACCAAATCGTGCCACTTCCCAGATCAGCCCTCCTGGTCCCATCTTGCCATCACTAACCCAAACCCAGCCCCACCAGACAACAGAGCATCAGCCAATGTGCCCACATTCCCACAAGAGTTTCATGAGACACGATTCCCCACTCTTCCCGTGACAGCTTCAACTGTTCCTCACTGGTTTAATACAGCGGCTTGAGATGTAAAGTCCAGTGCAGCATAAATATTGATAGTTTAAAGTAAAACAGTTATGTCCGTTTTCTAAATATGTCTGCTGGATTCTAAGCAACATCTATCATCATCAGTTGACAGAGAACACAGGCAAGCTCTCCTTTTAGCACCAGGAACTTTACAACACATCTCTGAAGACAAGTGTTTCATTGAGCAGATTTAAACCCGATGTCACAGATCTATGCTTGAAGTCACACTACTGACTGCTCTGTGGTACTTCTTTGTAGCACACAGACAAATGAACTGCAACTCTTTCATTTTCTTTTATTATAAAATTATTACTGCAAATGCCTACCGGTCCACAGCCCCTGGTCATGAGTTAGAACTTTAATCTATTAAAGGGAGTACCAGAGGCCTTGTAGGTAAAGAGTAGTGCCGCCCACCCAAAGGCATGCAGTTCATCAGCTGTTCCACAGAAGAATGATGGGCAATCTCTCCCCCTTGTAACTTATAGTTTCTGAAAACCCACTGGAGTATCAGCTATAAAGTGGTTCAGTTTGGTTTGGTTTGGGTTCAATTGCTGAAAGTTTTTCACTTTATCATGAAGTTCCTCTCTATCCCACACACTGAGATCCTGCGGATTCCACACTTCAGGGTCTGCACTGGGTGAGCAGTCATGACACCATGGGGCCCTCTCTCCGGTAGGGTCATCTGAGGGATCAAAAGGGAAGGGCAGGAAAGGGCATGGTGCAGGGCTTTCTCCCATCCCAGAGGTGCGCTGTGACACTTGCAGGGTAACAGGGCCACCAGCTGTCCCTGCTTCCCATAGCTATCATCTGTACTTCAGTGAATGGTGTGTCAATCATGTGGTAGCTCTAGAAGAATACTTTAACTGACACCTGATTCTCTTTTTGCTGCCACTGTCTTAAATGAGTCCCCGAGAGCCTGGGTCTGTGACTACCTGCACCATAGTTCTCCATACAATAGGGTCATCTTCACAAAGATATAAATCAGATCCTGTCTCAGATGTGCAATAACCCCAGTGGTGTCCCCCCTGCCCTTGTCAGCCCACCCCTGTCTTCACTCCAGCCACACTCACCTGTTTCATCTTAGGCACAAAATTTGTTCCTACCCCAGGACCTTTGCACTTGATATTCATCTGCCTGGGACATGCTCATCCAAGCAAACCTCTGAGTAGCTCCCTCACAATAATGGTATCCAATTAAAAGCCCCCTCTTTAGAAAGACTTTTCTAGTCATTGAGTCCTGTGTGGTCACCTCCAACCCATGGGAGGTTTCTGTCTAGCCTTTCATTTTCTCTTCGATTCTGAGCGCTATCTCACCTAGAATATCTATAACACACACTCCTAGCAAGTTATTCTGTGACCAGCAAAATAAACTAGATGCTATGGGATTGGCTCCAACTCCACGTATGATAGAACAAAATGTTGTGTAGTCCTGCAGTAAATTCACAATACTATGCTTGAACCCACTGCTGTAGTCTCTGTGCATTGTGAGTGCCTTCTAGCGGAAGGGATTAATGCTCTAGCACTGTCTCTGACAATGCTGTTAGGACCCACAGGGTTTTCCCCCCTTGATTTTTGAAGTAGGTTGCTAGACCTTCCTTACCTGTCATACACGTGTTTCCCCCCCCCCTTGATTTTTGAAGTAGGTTGCTAGACCTTCCTTACCCGTCATACACGTATGTCCACCAAGTAGGGCCTTTCAGCCTTATTCTCAACAGCACTTGGCACATGGTAGGTGTCTGACAAACCTTAATAAATGATTAAACAGATCTATAACCTCTATAACCAAGTAAGTTTTACATGTGCACCGAAATCCTTGAAGGAAGGATTATCAGCACTTACAAGGAAGAAACAAAAGCTACACCAATGTTAGGTCACTGCTCAAAACCTCAAACTCAGAAACCCCTTGTACAAGGATCAGGTCTCGTAGTTCTTCAAGATAGAACCTTCTTTTTCCTGGCCTTCCCTATGGATAATGATATAGAAAGAAAGACACATGAGAAATGCAAACAAACAAAGCTCTTCAAGGACAATCTCTGAAAGAAAAGCTATCAGCTTTGCAGCTGGCACTGATTTAATTCTTTGTCTTCTGGAGAAATAACTGTTCCTCCAGCTTTTGATACCCATTATTACTGGTTGCAACATTAGTGTAGAAGTATGAATCACTGGGACCAACATAAAGAGGAAGGGGAGGGAGGAATTCTATAATGGAGTAAAGTTCGACAATGAAAATTTCTCTCTCAAGATCTAAACAATGGCTTGCCTATTTGTTTAATCATTCACCATTAGGAAATGTGGGAAAGCAGAGGGAAATGAAGATAATGTGAAATTTCAGGTTTGAAATAAAATGCGGTGGGGAGCGGGAGTATCATCACACATTTAAAAAGAAGTGTTTACAGTCAGGGCAGGCGCTCCAGCATGAACTGTCCAGCATTGTCTTTTAGGATTTATTCAAAAAGCACTTGTTTATTTTTCGCTCTTAAAAATATTTACGTTCAAACTGGTAAGTTTGGGGTTTTGAGGCGGTTTGGAAGTGCATGGTGGCAGGTCTGAATACCGAGAAGTCTCTGATCACTCAACCCTTTCTACCATTTTTACCTTACTTTTTCGGTGGTCTGGGAGAGGGAGGAAAGGTGTGCAGTGCGCACCTGTCACAAATGCTCATTGCATGAAGACTGTAATAATGGTAAATAATACCCATCAAGTTTGTCTGCACATCCACAAGGACAGGCTTTTCACTTCTGCGTCCTCAAAACTGACCTCATCTCAACACGTCTCCTTCCCACCAGGGGCGGCGAGTGGCTGCCGACCCCCAGCTCCACGCGGGGCGGGGCCGCCTCACCTGCGCGGCCACCCGCCCCGGAGGTGGGCACACGTCACCTGTCCATCGGCCTCGCCACCTTCCCTCAATCACCAAAAGGTTTGAAAACAGGAAACGCAGACGTTTCCCTGGGGTGTCGGGAAACCTGCTTCTTTAGTGGGGGCGGCGGGTGCAGAGACCCTCCCCAGAGTCCACACGAGGGCTGTTCCCGAGGACGTGGAGGGAGAAATGACATCAGGAAAGGCCGCCCGCGGTGAAGGTGCCCGCCCGGGAGAGAGGAATATGCGGGGGTGGCGGGTCGGCGGGCGCCAGGAGCCCGGGAGCTGCGGCCCCCAGCCCGTAACCCCGCAGCCTCCGAGCTCCACGCACCGAGGGAAGACGCGCCGGTGGGGCTGGTGCAAGGCTGGGCCAGGCCGGGTTGGGGGCGGCGGCCACCCTGCGCTGCCGGCCCGGAGCGCCGGCCGGAGACCAGGCGGCGGCGGCGCGGCGGGCGCGCAGGGCGATCCCGGAGCGGCTCCGTGGAATCCAGCCGGGTTTTGACTCCGATCGCCACCAGGCCGAGCCGGCGAATGTAACAAAGAACAGTCGGCATGGCGGCTGGACCGGGGCGGGCCGGCCGCGGGCAGGCGGGCTGGGGACCGGGCGCACAAGGCAGCAGGGCGCGGACGGGGGCCAGGGCCTGGGGCGACGCGCGCAGCGACGGGCGGCGTGGGGCGCGGCCCGGGGCTTTACCTGCCTGTGGAATGTGCAGAGCAGGGTCGGATCCTGACTCCGGGTTGCGATCCGCTCCGGAAACTGCGCAGCACCGGAAGCCGGGGGGGCGGTGGCGGAGCATTGTGGGAGTTGTAGTTCGGGAGCGACTGGGGCCGAGGGCAAGAGACTGGATGGCCGGGACAGAGCGCGGGAGCGGGCTTTGGGAGACCGCGGCGTGGACCTAAGAACAGGCGGTGTGGACGGGGACGCGGAGGGGTACAGGCGCTGTGGGTCCTGAGAGTTGTAGATTGGGAGCGAGCTGGGGCCTAGACGCCTTGACGGGGCGCGGGCCGCTGGGTCGGGGGCGTGGGCGTGGGCGGCTGCGGGCAGGAGGAGCTGGCGGGACTCTGGGGCGCTGGGCGGCCCCGTGCTGCTGTCCCCCGCGTGGCTTCTCCCGGGTCCTGAGTTCCCCGATAGTGGCAAGGGCGCTGACGTGCGGGCAGCTCACATGGCCTCCTTCACCTTTCTTCTGAAGGCTGCTTGGAACCTTAGGGTCATTTGTGAGTGAGTGGGTGGAAAAGAACGTCGTGTTTTTCTCCATAGCGAATCTAGGATTTCCTCCCCAGTCACGAATGTCTGGTCGCGGGGGTGGGGTGGGGGGTGGAGCTCTTGGACATAGCGTCTCTTAATTCCCATGAATATTCTCAAATGCCAGGCACAAAGCTTGGAGTTGACAGGCCAAGTCCCCTGCAGGTGAGTGACAGATGGGGTTTAACTCTGTGCAGGAGTTTGGTTCCAGAAATACACAAGGTGAAGCTGCTACTTGAGAAACTTAAATTTTCTGCGCTCTCCCACCTCCCAAGTCCTCTTGTTCCTCTCCCTCAAATGGACATGCAAACTCAAACTACCAAAAGGAACCCCCCTCCCTGAAAGATCTTTTCATCTACTGACATCTCAGGTTATTGTTAGGTGCCTTCAAGTCAAGTAGGACTCATTATAGCTAACCTACGAACAAAAGATCCGAACCCTATTCTATCCTGTGCCATCCTCACACTTCCTGACACACAAGAGCCCAGTGAAGGAGTCAACTGCATGAATCCACCTGGTCGACCCTCCACCCTTCCCAGCATTATGTCCTTCTCCAGGGAATAACCCCTCCAAGCAACGTGCCCAGAGAATGTGAGGAAAAGCCTTATCATTCTTGCCTCAAGGAGCACTCCAGCTGCACCCTCTCCAAGACGTATCTGTTTGTTCTCTTGACCGTGCATGGAATGTTTAGTACTCCATCATTACAGCTCAAAGGCGTCAAATCTACTTCAGTCATCCTTACTCACTGTCTAGCTCTCAGATGCACAGCAAGTGATCGGAAAAATTATGGTCTGGCTCAGACACCTTAGTCCTCAAAATGACATCATTTTTATTTGACAGCTCAGGTACAGGGAAGCAAAAGGTCTTGTTTATTTCTCTTATTAACGCCCATTAACAAAGTCAAAAGAGATGATAAACTGAGGATAAATGGAACCAAATTGATAGCACAGGGACTCAGTTCCCTTACATATGTAAAGCTCTTATAGAAGAAGGTAGCTGACAACAACAACAAAAAAAAGCAAATGAACCGTTCACAGGAAAGAAAATACACTGACAAGCAGATGAGCTAGTCAAGTATACTCTAATTGGAGATAAAAATATACAGGGTCTTTGTGGTTTGTTTTTTGTTTGTTTGTTTTTTATCAAGTTGGCAAATATCAGAAAGTTTCCTAGCATATTTGAAGAGATTTTGGTGGCCTAGTGTGTACGGAGTTGTGCTTCCAACCCAAAGGCAGGAGGCCCTAATCCACTAGGTACTCTACAGAAGAAAGCTGAGCCATCTCCTCCCTTCTGATTTGCAGCCCCTTAAAAACCTCCCTGAAAAGTTAGCTATGAGTAATTTCCTACTCATTTGCACCTAACAAGGGAAGCAAAGCTCTCATCCTTGGCTGGTAGGAGAAGTGACATTCGAAAGGTCTCAGATAGCTTGTTCTCTGGACCTGTACATTCTGGTTAGCACAGCTGTACTGGGAAAAAATGATCAAATTGCTTACAGAAAAAAATAAAGTGATAGATTGCAAGCTTGAAATGTATGAAAACAAAAGGCCTCAACCCACCTGAAGCCATTTCTCATGTCAACACAGCTGACACAGAACTTTGATTCTTATTCATAGAAGTCATCAGGTCTTCAAAAGAGTTTGCTGTATTCAGTATATCTCTTCAGTGATGGCAGGAATAATACCCAGTTATATAATTAAAAGTGTTTTGGGACTTAAAGTGTCAAATTTTCATTATTAACAACTAATGCAATGTACAATCTGACTAAATCCCAGACAGAAAAGCAAACCGTAAATCAAATCAAGGAGACAGCTGGAGAGAATTGGGCATAGACTGACAACTGCATAATAGTCTTTTATCAAAATTTCCCCAAGTGATTGTTGTATTTATAGAATGGTGCTGTAATTCTAGGGAAATCCTTTCTGGAGTGAAATCCTTTTTAGAATCAAATATCAAGGTGTCACCAGATAACAATAGGAGATAAATAGATGTAGAAAGCAGATGTAGCAACATTGATGGGTTTAGGTGAAAGGTATGTAGTAAAAATTTTAAACGTTTGAAAATAAGTTTGACATGTAACTTTAAAAATATCACATAAATGGAGGAGCATCTGTTATTGTCAGGGAATTTTCTAGGCATGGTACGGAGACTAGCTGTGACATTGAGATGTTGCCATTTCCCCATACATCCCCAGGACTCTAAACTCTAAATTCTGATTTATTTTTGGCCTACACTTTCTCATGAGCTCTAATGTTTGAGGTTGCTAATTATGAAATTTTCTCTCCCACTGTTGTTGACTGGTTGACTCACACCAACTTTCCATCAGATTTTCAAGGTTGTAAATCTGAACAGGAAGAGACTGCTTATCTGACTCCCACAGATTTTCTGGTGGTTCCGAACCTCCAGATTCAGGAGACATAATGGGCATATATTCTTAGTTATTTCTCTAACCCATTTAGCTTTTTTTGAAACAAAAATCCTGCATATATTCCCCATGCAGATAAAGAGAGCTGTCTAATTCAACAGGTAATTACAGTAAACAAAACGGGGGGGCTCTCATTCGGTTATGATCGTTAAAGCATTTGACTACTAACCAGAATGTTAGTGATTGAAGCCCACCAGCCATTCCACAGGAGAAGGATGCTTCAGGAAAGATTGGCACTCAGAAATTTTATGTGGCAGTTCAGTTTCATCCTGTAGGGTCACAATATGACTCAGAATTGACCCAGTGGCATTGAGTATGTACAAAACATTAATAGTCCACGTCATCATCAATGGAGAAAAGACTGAAGTTATAAAAATGTCCTCTTACTTCCATCCACAGTCAACACCCATGGTAACAGCAGTCAAGAACTCAAAAGATGTATTGCATTGGGAATACCTGCTGTCAGGCACCTCTCCAAACTGCTAAAGAGCAAGGATGTCAATTTAGAGACTGAAGAGTGCTTTTGATCCAAGACATGGCCTTTCAGTTACTTTCTATGCGTCTGAAAGTTGGACAGTGAATAAGGATGACAAATGAAGAATCAATACCTTTGAATTGTGATATTGAAGTTGAGTGCTATATTCTGTACTCCAATGGGCTACCAAAAGTACAAACATGTCTATCTTGGAGGGTGTGTAGCCAGGGTGCTCCTTAGAGGCAAAGATAGTGAAAATTCAACTACCCCTCACATTGGGCATGTTGTCAGGAGAGGTTAGGAAACCCGTGGAAAATGACATCATGCTGGATGGAGGATCAAAGAAAGAGATAAAAGAGAGAAAACAAGATGGATTGACACAGTCATTGGTAACAATAAGTATATCAGAGATCTTGAAGATGGTACGGGACAGGGCGCGGTTCAGATCTATCAGTCCTAGGGTTGCTATGCGTCATAGGCAAGCAGCACCTAACAACAGTGTACTGTTCTTACCCACAATAGGCAGCACACAACTTCTACAAATGTAGAAAAAAACACATAAGGCATCTCTGGTTTGCACAAGTCGGTAGTAGCCAGACAGCCTGGCTCAGACTCTTGTTTCTGCTGCTTATCTGTATGACCTCAGGCAAGTTAGTTAACCTTTCTATGATTCACTTTGAAAAATTATTAGTACATACTCAAAACAAATTCATCGCCATTGAGTCAGAACTGACTCAAAGCTGACCCTCGAGAGGATTTCCTGAGGCTGTAAATTGCATGAGAGAAGATTGCCCATCTTTCTCCCTTGGAGTTGCTGGTGGATTTGAACAGCCAAAAAGATGTAGCCTTTCTCGGAGTAGCGCAGCTCCCTCACCTCCTTAACACATAATAAGACTGTACTACCCCACCAGACCTCCCTAGCACATAGTAAGTCTGCAGTTAATGTCAGCTAACATTAATGTCCTTTATCCAGTTAGTTGTATTGGTTTTTGCTAGTTGCTGTGATCCTAGGGATCTCTGATGGCTTAGTGAAGAGTTACAGTGCCAACCACATGGTACAAATCAACCAGGCAAGGGTGGATCTTGCTTTGTGAGAGAAAGATGGGCAGTCTCCTCCTGGACACTTTGCTGCCTATGATGAGCTGCTAGAGGGTCAGCTTTGACTGGATTCCAATTCAACCAGACATGACATAACATGATCCTAGAAACTATGTCAGTGGTATTTCAAATACCTGCAGGATTATCCATGGTGGACAGTGTCACAGATTGAATTGTGGCCTAAGAATATCCTTATTTTTTGTTGTTAGGTGCCATCGAGTCAAGTACGACTCATAGTGACCCTATGAACAAAAGATCTGAACCCAGTCCTGTGCCATCCTCACACTTCCTGACACACAACAGCCCATTGCAGCAGTCACCTTGTCAGTCCACCCAGTTGAGAGCATTCCTCTCCTTCGCCGACCATCCACCCTTCCCAGCATCATGTCCGTCTCCAAGGAATAGCCCCTCCTAGCAACATGCCCGAAGTATGTGAGGTGAAACCTCATCATTCTTGCCTCCAAAGAGCACTCTGGCTGCATCCTCTCCAAGACATGTCTCTTGTTTTCTTGGCCATCCATGGAATGTCCAGTGCTCTTCTCTAACACCACAGCTCAAAGGCATCAATTTTTTTTTTCTGTCATCCTTATTTATTGTCTAGGTCTCAGATGCATAACTAGTAATCAGAAAGACCATGGGCTGAATCAGACACACCTTAGTCCTCAAACTGATAGCACTACTACTCAATAATTTGGAAAGGTCTCTAACTGCAGATTTTCTGATTGTAATGTGTCTCTTCAGACATTGAAGTGGTTTCCATTCTCTCCCCCCTCAATATTTTAAAACTGTAATGAACATACTTTTGGAAGCAGGAGTAGCATCCACTTCCTAAACAACATGCCTCTGGAAACTCTATGAACTTTGATAAATGACAATAG